TTTTTTCACCCAAATCGTCACTTAGCATGGTTTTGCACTCACCCCTTCAATTGGTCCATAAACAGTTGAAAAACTGGGCCTGTGCCAAAAAGCGTGCACAGGCACATAACTAAATACAGACATGCACTGAACCGTGAAACCCTCCCTTAGACAAAACAAACCACATTGTTATACCTCCCAACTCAAATATGTTTTCCTATTGGAGGAGAGCGGGTTGTGTCGTGGGTCAAAACTCACTAACTCCCTAGCGAAACAACAACTTGAAGTTTCAACTTGCACATGATCAGGTCATGCATCTTGAAACCGCAGCAAATTTTTGAGCCAGCCAGCTTCAAGAAAACAATTTCTTCGCAGGCTTTTTTTTTCTTTCTTTCTTTGAGTTGGGAGGTATAACAAAACATGTAATGACTGGTCCTGCAGGAAACAGTGAGTCTTGTTTCATCTCTACCTCAGTGTTCTCCAAGGCAAAGCTGAGCCGGTTTCGGGGAAACAAAACTCACTGTTTCCCTTGGGGCTAGTCATTAAGTGCTTATTGTCGGCTGGATAGCGTTATCCACCTTTTGAACAACCCAGGTCCGGTATACATGTGAAGTAGTCAATAGGGAGTAAACATTCAATGATGGTTATTACAGGATTTGAAAATGTCAATTTGTCTACAATGTCTTGTGTGGCCGGTTCAAGCCAGTGTATTGTGGAGCCAATTTTTTTTTTTTAAGTTGTCACACTCTCTTTGTTTACAGTCTGAAATAGCCTCCGTCATTTTTCTGTTAGGGAAGTTTTCTTTATCACCTCTGAAATGTTTTTGTCTCTTTGTTTCTTTTTGTTTCCTCACTTTGAAGCCATACAAAAAAGTCATACCTCCCCTTTATCTAAATGTGATGTAGAACATTAAGATTATGAAGTTATCCCTCTTGTCTTTTAAAAATTCTTGGATGTTATTTTTTTTTTCTTTTTTCTTTTTTTTTATACTTGCCAAAAAAGAAATATGACAATAACTTTATCTTAGCTGAAAAACATAGCAGAGTGAAAATGTGGGAAAAAACCTAAAGTTTAATATCCTGACATATCCTTAGCAAAATGTAAGCAAAGTATCTTTTTTATGATTAGTATGGACATCCCCTGGCCTCTAAAACCTAGCTCACTCCTAATTAAAAAACTAATACTTAGTTTTAGGTAATATTAAAAGTGGAAGCAGACATTTATAATCTAACTTGTGCCTTCTATTACTGTGACTTTTTCCAGTCTTGGGATGCTTATTTCCGCCAAGTTCAGAATGGGATGCCTCCAGGACAGGCCTACCAACCACCACCCATTCTGGGACAGATGGCTGGCATGGTAGCAACAAGACAAACTGTTCCAAGTGCTGTGGACCAATCCACTATCAACAGTCTTGTGTCAGATCACTTGGCAGTGTACTCTTTGATTCGTTGTTACCAGGTAATTATTAATTAATAATAAGTATACACTAGACCTGTATTTTTCTTGTTGCTTTTAATGAGGTAGTTTTCTAGTTTGACGTTATACAGTCTAACCTCTTCTAATGGTCACCTCTCTTCAACGGCCACTTTTTTCTGGTGGCAGATGGGCCTTATTCACTTTTATTTTAACCTCTCTACAACAGCCACCTCTCAATAACAGATATGGCCACTAAAGCATGTCCCAACTTACTGTTGACATTCTTATTGCAGATCAGGGGTCATAACAAAGCCCAGTTAGACCCTCTTGGTATCCTGCAGGCTGACCTCTCAGATTCCATTCCTGCTGATCTTTCTCTTGAATACTGGGGACTTGGTGAGTTATGCACTATATGAAACACGGAAGACTGTGTTCATAATTTGTCCTGGATAATTGATTTTGGTTAATCTCTTTCAACATGGAGGGAAAACTCTAGACTAACCACAAACAATTTAATTTATTATCTTACATGTACATGTGTAAATGTATTGATTCATTGGGGCTGCTAAAGAGCACATTCAATTTGACTTAAGTTAATTTATTGGGAAGAGATTAACCTTAAAAAATGACCACATCTAGTGGCCATTGGGCTAACTCTTGTCCCTGGTTCAAATAACATGAAGTCAACGTGGGTATTTCTAGTTAGCATCGGGCAGGCAAAGAGCCACCCTGTGGATATACTGCCCGAAATGCCATTATTATTATTATTATTATTATTATTATTATTATTATTATTATTATTATTATTATTATTTGAGCACATGCTGCCATGCAATTTTTTTCCTTCTTGATGATGTTGTTTTATTTGGATTTTTTTTTCTTTTTACAGGAGAGGCTGATCTAGACAAAGTTTTCCAGCTTCCTAACACAACGTATATCGGTGGCAACACTGATGTTTTGACTTTAAGAGAAATAGTCAGCAGGCTTGAGGTATGTTGAGGCCTGTGATGATGTACTGTAAATCGTAATTTCATGGCAAAAAATATGTTGCATTTTGTTTTCGTTGTGTTCTGCTCTTGGGCAAGACCCTCAGATCTTCTCTCAGTACCTCTCTCCACCCAGGTGTCTAAATGGGTACCCGTCCGGCAAAGTAAGAATGAGAGGGTAACCATGAGGTGGATTAGCATTCCATCTGGGAAGGAGTAGAAATACCCACGTTGACTTCATGTTATTTGAACCAGGGACAAGAGTTAGCCCAATGGCCACAAAGGCTAAAAAAAAGAAAAGCATTAAGCTGTGATCATAGATGTAAGTAAATTGATTGAAAATAAACAGGGATCATACCACAGTGTGGAGTCTGTTTTCACAATGTAGTCTACAAACAATTTTCAACTGAGTGCTTTAAAACCAATTTAACAAAAGTAATCACTCTGGCCAATCACAAAGGACACAGGCAATCCAAAGAGCCAATCAGAACTCATAGAAAACACAGGTAGTCGACACGAAGTGAGCGAAGATGTGTGCAAGCGAGTTGGTGGTACTTCTGATTAGATCAAAAAGTGGTGCAGGTTTTTTAAGCCAGTTGTGTAGCTTAATAATGCAAAACCAATTTCTTTTCAACACTCAAGTAAAAAACTGTTCTAAAGATAAATAATTACTAACAGTGATGATATTGCCATAATCACAGAGAGGTTGTAACTTAGCCTTTCAGAACATGAATCTTGTAGGAGTTATTCCTCAGTTTCTTGAAGATCAGATCTTGATTTTATCTTCCACAGAGTTCATATTGTGGACACATTGGGCTGGATTACATGTTCATTCCAGAAAAATCTAAATGTAAGTATCTATTCTAAAAACTCATGGTTGATAAAGTGCACAATGGGCCATATTTGCATTCTGAGTACTAGCTTGTGACTGAGCTAATACGTTTAGTCTTCTCAAATGCTGATTCATCCCCTAGTAAATCAATTTACAGTAATTAATAGTAATGCTCATTGTGTGCTGTTGGTGTAAACTACTTATTGGAAACCCCTGTGGCGAGTCGACTTCCCAGTGGCTGGTTAAACTTGCATATTTGTTCTTGTTAAATGATGTATTTTTTTGGTTAAAATCTTTCAAGGTGACTGGATTAGGAAGAGGTTTGAGAGTCC